GGGCGGGGGGGGGGGGGGTGGGGGGGGGGGGGGGGGGGGGGGGGGGGGGGGGGGCGCGCGTTAATGAAGGGCAAGGAGGGACCTGGCGATCGTGGTGCTGAATTAGCCGTGTATGAGGCGACTGCGACGCTCGCGTGGGGCTCGCACATGCACCCCATCCATGCCCCATCAAGACTCTCCCCACTCGTCATACATCCCTCCCACCCTTTCCTCACCCCTCCCCGTGGTACTCCTCCTTTGGCTGCCGCAGAAGGCTAAGCTGGTTTACGACGCCGTCGAGGCCAGCAACGGCTTCTACGCCAGCCCAGTGGCACGCGAGGCGCGCTCGCTGACCAACGTGCCCTTCACCATCCCCTCCAGCCCCGACCTGGAGAAGGCCTTCATCGCCGAGGCGGCCCAGGCGGGCATGGTGCAGCTCAAGGGGCACCGCTCCGTGGGCGGCATGCGCGCCTCCATCTACAACTTCATGCCCCTGGAGGGTGTGCAGACCCTCGCCGACTTCATGCGGGAGTTTGCCGCGAGACACGCCTGAGGCCCGGGCTCGGTCTGGTGGCCGAAGGACGCTGTGCAAAGGCTGAGTGTCTGCGGCAGTCAGCGGCCGGAAGAGGCTCTGCAGCTGCACAGACCGGGTCCCAGGCCCAGGCAGCACGCATTGCCATGCGATTGCCTGGGCAGCCGGATGCTGCCGGCCCACGACGCGGCGCAGGCGGCCGGCACCGATCCTGGGTCGCCGGTCGCGGCCGCTGCGCTCCACCCTGCTCCTCCTTCTCGCTTGCTGGTCTGTCAGGCTCCTCCGACAGTGCCCCCCAGCATCCCTTCTTACCTTGCTGCTGTACACTAGGGCTAGATGGAAGGTGGAGATGATTGGCTAGGCGCGAGTCATGCCGGCCAATGGCATACGTCACAATGGGGGGCAAGCATCTGCCGAGATCTCGTGCGGAGTCGAATCTCGAGCCTAAAGTGTAGTACTGGGGCTGGCCTATCCACTGACTAGAGGTCTCGTCATTATCCACACTGTGTTTCATCCTTGTTCTGGCCAGGGAATGCACAGGAGGTACAATTCCTGGCAGGGCCGGGCGTCAGGCCGGTAGCCCTGTCTTGTCCCGACACCCCCTCACCGGCGCCAGGCACCCAAGCCTGGGAGGGGCATGGCGCCCAGTGTCCTCGATGACCTGGGGTCAGAGCTGACGGCTGTCGTGGCCCCCGTCAGCATCTGCATTGCCATCACGGTGTGGCTCGTGGCAGTGCTGAACCCCGACGGCCAGAGCAACTCCCGGGCTATGTCGATCGCCACCGCAGCCTACGCCGAGGACGTGAGCGGGGAACGTCACCATCTTGAGGGAAAACATGTCCTGGCTGCGAGGCATCGGGTGGCATGCCGTGCCTCTGCCCCCCATTGTTGCCCTGTTGACTCCTGGTTCCCCATGTCCAGGCCATCACCTTCCCCATGCTTGCTCACAGGACACCGACTCCGACTGGACCAAGTTCCGGGGCAGCCTGCTGAATGCCTTTATCTTCGTCGCATTCATCGGCATCGCCACCTTTGGGCTGGTCGCTGCCGTCAAGCGGGGGGTGCGATTGCGCTTGGCGAGCTTCCACTGCTTGCAACATGACTGTGCAGGCCCAGATCCAAAAAAGCATACAATACTCCTCTTCCCCCAACCCCCGCCAACCCCCACCCTCTCCTGCAGTACACCCGCTGGATCTTCCTGTACATGTGCTTCTCCGTGTTCAGCGTCTTCTTCACGCTCAACGGCCTGATCTGCGTGGAGCTGCTCCAGGCCTTCTCCCTGCCCTTCGACTGGGTCTCCCTCACCCTCCTCCTTTACAATACGGCGGTGCTGGGGGCGGCCACCCTGTTCCACTTCCCCGCCCCCCTCCTGCTGAAGCAGGCCAACCTCATTGCCGTGGGGGTGGGCACCGCCTTCACCTTCACCTTTGTCCCGGAGTGGACCAGCTGGACGCTGCTGGTGGCCATGGCCCTCTATGACATCGCCGCAGGTGGCTGGACTGGGCAGGTTCAGGGCGTGCAGGCTATGGGAATGAAAGGCAGCCTCTGTTGCACAGCTCCCAGGGGGAAAGGGAGTCGCGACATGTGGGGCACTTGACACCATCAGGTGTGCCTGCATGTGGAAGGGCAACTCCCCGATAGGGCGCAGAGGCTCCTCGCCCTTCACCCTGACCTCTCTGGATCGCCATTTTCCGCACAGTTCTGGCGCCCTGGGGCCCCCTGAAGGAGCTGGTGGACCTGGCCAGCGAGAGCGGCGACCCCATCCCGGCCCTGGTGTACTCCGCCCGGCCCGCCGGAGGGGCTGCTGAGGCGGCGGGCGCACGGAGCGCCGAAGCAGGCCCGCTCCTGGCCAGACCTGCCCGCCCTGCGCCCGTCCCCGGTGAGACAGGTGGGCGGGCGTGGAGGGCATGGTGCGAGTTGACTCTCGCGCGCCAGAGGCAAAGAGAGGGAGTCTTGCATGGCTTCGCGGGGACCGTGGGCTCTGCCAGACCACGTCATTGGATCAGAACGCACTGTAGTCAGGACTCCCTGGCGCCCCCCGCAGAGCTGGCGGTCCAGGCTGGACGCGAGACTGCGCCGGAGGACGCCTCGCCGGGTCCCGCGGTGGAATCAGAGCGCCTGCTGCGGCCCCGGTCGAGCACCTCCGGCCAGCCGGACGGCCCACTACCCTTTCCCATCTCGCTGTGGACCCGGACAGACCACCCAGGCCTGCTGCGGGTCACAGCGACCGGCCCCGAATCCCAGCAGCGCTCCGCCCCATCACTGCACCCCGCTGCCTCAGAGCGCGGGAGCGAGGATGGCGTCTGGCTCCCCGACGGCATCCGCTTGGGCATGGGCGACTTCATCTTTTACTCGGTGCTCGTGGCGCGCGCCAGCATGCACAGCGCGCTGGCCGCCGGCGCGTCCTTCCTCGCTGTCGTGGCGGGGCTGGCCTGCACGCTGCTCTGGCTCTCGGTCGCGCACTCGGCGCTGCCCGCGTTGCCCATCTCCATCGCGCTGGGCACGCTGGCCTACTTTGCCACGCGCACCGTGCTCGAGCCCACCCTGCTCCCCCTGACGCTGCACGGCCTGTACTTTTAGATGATGTATGAGCAGGCGGGCAGTGGTATACTGCTCGTGGCCCTCTTCAACTTGTAACAGATTTTCCGGCCAGCCGGTCAGCCTTGCCGACATCTTGGAAGCAGGAGCAAAGGGGGGAAAACGCAAACACGAAAAGTGAAGACAATGAGTCTCCTGGGCACGCATGGTCTCAACCTGCTGCAGCACTGATGTTGGCGAGCCTCTGCCCTGCATCAGTGCTGAGACCCGGCAGCAGTGAGTAGCTCCCGCTCTCCCACTGTCACGGTGAGGTAGGTGGTGAGCAGGGGTGACCACGTGCACGACGTCAAAGGAGTACGAAATATTTGTGATGGGTGATCGTCCAAACCATCCGCAATGCCACCTGCCGGGCCTCAAGTACCTTGAGCAGGTCCTTGTCATCGGCATGCTCACTGCCACACTGCCATCCCGCCCAAGCTTCCACCTGGCATCCCACAGCATGGCACCTAGCGACCAGGGCCTGCTCCTCCCCGCCATGCATGCTCCCTCCCCCGCTTTCAAACCCCTCTTGGCCCACTTTGCTCCCCGACCCACGCCCACACACCTTCCTCTGCCATGCGGGCGATTGACTGGCGCAGCCTGGCCTGCACCGCCTCCTCGTCTCGCTCCACCGAGAAGGCGGCCAGCAGGATGAGCGCGCCGCAGGGTAGCCAGCCGGCAGCTGCCAAGTTCAGCGCCGCCGTTCGACCCAGGCCAGAGATCAGGGCCGCAACAAACACCGGTCCCAGGCCTTCAACGCAAAGAAGAGAGGAGGGTGGGGGGTTAGGGGGGATGGGATCTTTCAGGTCTGGGCAGGAAGGGGGGAAAGTGCTCTCACGGCGGTCGTCAGAGGCGGGGGCGGGGGGGTCTTCCGTCGCCCCAGATAGCATCTCCAACCGTAGCAATAAACCCACCTTGGGACCGACACCCTCCCAGACATGTGGGAGTATCATTCCCCCGGCAACCCCTCCCACTGCCGGCAGCTGCTGCTGCCTGGCCCATGCGCTGTATGCGCCTGAGTCGAGACCCGCGCTGCAAAGGAGGGCCTCCTCCTCCTCCCCTCTCCCATCCCAGCCCCCCCTCACCTTTCCCCAGGTCGTCCAGCATGCTTTGCAGCGCCAGGGCCAGCCCCCTCATCTCCGGCTCGTTCACGTTCAGCAGCATGGCCCGGGCGTTGGGACCCATGGTGGAGCTGGCGAAGCCCACGCCCAGGGCCGCCACCAGCGTCGCCGTGTAGCGCCGGCCGACGTCGCCGTTGAGCACGTACCACATGGGCAGCGTGCCCAGCATGGTGCTCAAGCCTGTGTGTTTGTTTGAGGAGGGATTGAGTGGGGGTTGCGGTGACGAGGTGCAAGGGAAATGGCGTGGGTGTGGGCAGACAGCTTTGAGCGCGGGGGCGGCGGAGCGGGGAGATGATGGGAGCCATGTGGTTGAGCCTGACAGCCAAGTGGGGCGGTGCGGCAGGCCTGGCCCGGCCCCAGCAGCCAGACGCGGCATGGAGCCAGCGATGACCGGCCCGCCCTCACTGCTGCCCCGGAGGCCAGGCCAGGAATCCTGCGGCCGCCTCCCGCCCACCCACCCCACCCCACGCATCCCACACCCAACCCCTCTGGGCATGCGCGCACCGATGAACACGGGCATGGCGGCCTTCCTGCGATTGTAGATCCACTGGCCCAGGAGCCCGCCCCCCAGCACGCCCAGGGCGCCGCCGATGCCGATGCAGAGCAGGACCGTGGTGGCCGCCTGGACGCTCAGGCGTCGCTCCTGGGCCAGGAAGTCATTGAGGAAGGTGAGCAGCATGCCCCAGGGGATGCAGCCGAAGAGGCCTTGGCCGATGGCGCAGATGTTGGTGGGCGTGCGCAGCAGGATGCCGGCCTTGGACCATGTCATACGCTCGTCGTACACGAAGCCCGGGTTGCCCTGGTTTATGTGTGTGTGTGTGTTTGGGTAGGGGGGGGAGGTGGGTGAGGGAATCGGCTGGCATGAGTAGAATGGGCCACACCTCCCCCCAACACAGCTCCAATACCATCACAAATCACCCACCTCAAAGACCTCGGCCAGCGCCTCCTCGGTACGGCCGCGCGGCGGGTCCCGTGTCGTGCACAGCATGAGCACCGCCAGCACGACCGTGGGCGCCGCGACGATGGCAAAGGGCGCCCGCCAGCCCAGCGACGGCCCCACGAAGCCGGCGATGCCCTGGCCCACCGCCAGGCCCGCACCCAGGGACACCTGGATGACGGCCGCGGCGGTGGCGCGGCGGGCGGTGGTGGTCAGGTCCCCCACCAGGCTGAAGATGAGGGGGAAGGCGCCGCCCAGGGAGATGCCGGTGAGCACGCGCAGGAGGAGGAGCTGCCAGTAGCGGCGCACGGCCAGGGTGAGCAGGGCGGGGGCCTCGCCCAGCACCACGGCGGCGAAGAGCAGGCGCCTGCGGTCCACGCGGTCGCAGAGCCAGCCGAAGAGCAGGGCCGCGGGGGCGCCCACCAGGTAGAAGCTGGCCGCGACCACGCCGCCCAGCAGGCGGTCGCGCTGGTCGGGGCTGAAGCCAAAGTCTCGGGCCACGGCGGTGAGGTTTGGGGCCATCAGGTTCTGGTCCGCAAACAGCAGGCACCCCGTCAGGCAGAAGATGGCCATCATGTAGGCCGCCTCGCGCCGCGACACGGCGGTTGGGGGTTGGGGGGGGGCTGTGATGTGGAGTGGGCTATCTGTGGAGGGTGGGTGTCCATGTCGGCAGGGGAGGGGTGAGCGGAGCGTGATGGTGATGGAGCGAGGCCACGGGGCAGGGAGCCCGGCTGGCGGTTGGGGCAGCGGGAAGCTGACCCACAACCTGCAGCCCCTGTGACCACCTCGCAAGCATGCAACACCTTGTCTGTGGTCATTGAAAAAGCATTGCGCCCCCACTTTTCCTCACCCCTTTCTCCACTGTGCCCTCCTTTTCAACTCACCTCCAGCAGTTGGCTTGACACCAGAGGCACCAAACTCTGCCTCCCCGGCACGTGCATCGGCAGCCTCCTCCTTGGTCCCACCATCCAGGATCTCAAAGGGCTCCGGGCCCCACCCGGAGGCCATGCAGGGCCCGGCGCCTGCCAGTGCAAGGTGTCCAGGGTGTGGGGAGATTTGGTCGTCCCTCCTAGTGTGCTGGTTGAGGGGAGCCGGCCCGCATCGAGGTATCCGTCCCTAGGAGGAGAATTATCTCAGAAGCATGCATGGTGACATTTGTGAGCTGAGTTTGGAACGCGCTCGGCAGTCCACGCCTCGCCGTGGAGGTCGGACGGGGCGCTGGTCGGTGTACAACAGCGACGCTGCGAGTCTCCCCTCGGTATCACAGGGACCGCTAGGCAATCGTTACATACCCTGACAGATACGTGTGCCGACAAGTTCGAATCGCGCGTGCTAGAGATGACTGCCGCGAATCCAATTTTGGGATTGACGGGGTTTTTAAGCACTTTTGGGTGATCCTTGATCGGACCTCGCATCACCTCCCATCGCAACATGCAATCTTCCAAATAAGACAAACCCGGCTCCCAATGGAAAATTCAGTACAATCATAAACGTGCCGGACACCCTTCCCCAACGACGTGGTCTGTGGTTCGTATGCTGAGAGTCGTGGGCCAGAACCTGCTCCTCCCCCCCCGCGCCACCCCCCTCCGCTGCATCCGCACAATGTCCAAGGCTCGCACTGCCCTGGAGGAGATGGGTGACAAGGGAGCGTTCAAGCGCCAGGAATCGGTGTTCCGGAACCAGGTCGCCAAAGGCTCCCGTTTCGAGCCGGAAGGTGGGGCATGACCGAGGAAGCCTGCGGTGATGGATGCATGCCAGGGAGCGCAGCCCTCGCTGTTCCGTTGGCAATCGCGAGAAGTTTTGATATGTTGAGAAACCTATGTTCATCAACTGACCGCCATGGCCCTGCGTCCTTGCCTCTCCGCGGTGCGGCCCTTCCCCATCAACTGATGCACTCTTCCCCTGCTCGTGCAGCTGGGCGGTACCACCTGTATGTCAGCCTGGCCTGCCCTTGGGCCAGCCGGTGCGTGGCTGGCCTGTACCTCAAGGGCCTGGAGGAGAGCATCGGCCTGAGCGTGACGCACCCCACCTGGCAGCGGACTCGCCCCGACTCTCCTGACGACACCCATGCGGGCTGGACCTTTGCGAGCCCGGGGGACGCCCCCTTCACCCCCGTCTCCGGCCATGGGTCCGTGGACTGTGCGGGCTGTGTGCCCGACCCACACTACCATGCCAAGAACGTGAGGCAGCTGTATGAGCTCGCAGAGGACACATTTGGTGAGATGTTGCGCGGTTGGTGAGGCTGGCTGGGCTGTATGTGGAGACGGATGGCCTGGTGGCATGCGTGCGGGCTCCCCTTCAGCCAGAGTGGCGAGACGCAGGGACAGGGCTTGCCTGGAACGTGTGCCCAGACTATGGGGCGGCCTGCTTCCCAGTGCATGGGGCCCAGGAGCTGGGTACACCCAGGCAGCCTTACCCCTCTTGGACCAATATCGACACTGCTGCAAGGCCCATGCCACCAGTCCAGTTCCCCAAACCCTCTTGCAATTCTTTTGGCTGCAGGAAAGTACACGGTGCCCATTCTGTGGGACACCAAGGAGAAGACAATTGTCAACAACGAGTCCTCCGAAATCTTGCGCATCTTCAACTCGGCGGTGAGTTGCGTTGGAGAATCGGTGGAGGGCGCTGTCGAATCCCTGGCATGACCCTGGTGACTGCGCCCGACGCGGTGTACCCTGGGTGGCTGATAACCTGGGAGGCAGGCGCAGCGCGGAGGCTGCCTGGGCGTCCAGTGTGTGTTGCCCTGGCCGGCTGACAAGTCAGGCCCCTCCACCCGACAACCCTGCAGTTTAATGATGTTGCCACCAAGCCAGAGCTGGATCTGTACCCAGAGGACCTGCGCGCCAAGATTGATGAGGTGGGGAGGCTTGGCGAGACCACCATGGTCCACGGGTGTTGGTGAGGGGAGGAACGAGACAGCATTCTGGTTACACACGATGACGGGCCGGTCGGGCCGGGTGACGGCGCCTGGTGGATTGTAGCGCTGCCGCTCCTCACCCTCATCTCTCACCCTGGCGCTAGGTGAATGACTGGGTGTACACCTACATCAACAACGGCGTGTATCGGTGTGGCTTTGCCACCAGCCAGGAGGCGTACGAGGAGGCTTTCAGGTGAGTTCCAGGAGGCTGGCGGTTCAATGGTCTCCTACCCGTGCACGAGCAGCCGTTGAGGCCAGCGCAAGGCGTGAGGGAAGTGTCGGGATGCGCGGCTTGTCCAGCAGTGCTTGAGGCACGGGTCGATCAGGCGCTATGCCTCATTTCACCATGGCACACAGGGGCCTGTTTGAGCACCTCGACAAGGCCGAGGCGCTGCTCTCGAAGCAGCGCTACCTGGCCGGCGATCGTTTCACCGAGGCCGACCTCCGCCTCTTCGTCACCCTCATCCGATTCGACGAGGTGTATGTGGTGAGCAGCCTGGGCCCTACCCGGATGGGGGACCTAGCCGTGAGGCCAGACGCCATATGGGGCAGGCATGCTGGGTGGAGTGAGGGTGCGGTGTCCATGGTGTGGAGTTCCTGACCCTTGGCACCGCAACGGTCCGCTGCAGGTGTACTTCAAGACGAACAAGAAGGCCATTCACGAGTACCCCAACCTTTGCAACCACACGCGCGATGTCTTCCAGATCCCAGGCGAGGTCTAGTGTGTGTGCAGGGCAGGAGGGGTGACAGAGGGGCAGGGGGAAGCCCTCCACTCATGTGGGGGTGTCAGCGATGACCAGGCCCTGGCTTGCATGTGGGCCTGGTTATCACAGTTGGTGTGCGCAGACCAGCAGGAGTGGTCGTTTCTCGCGCCATGTTGGGTATGTGCACCGCGGCGCATGCCAACATGTCTAGCCCAGTCACTCTTTAATGCCCGTGCAATCCCTTGTGGCCTTCGCAGAGGTGAGGGAGAGCGTGAACATCGACCACCTGAAGCGGCACTACTTTACCAGCCACCCCAAGCTGAACACCTACTCTGTCATACCGGTGGGCGGGGAGGCCTGGTGGGAGCAGCCTCACGACAGGGAGCGCTTCTCCTCTAGTGCCTGATGCGGGGCACGCCTTGATGATGTGGAGCCTGGCCTCTGGTGCCTTCATGAGCACCGGCACTGGGCACGGATGCCGGGTTTGAAGCTTTCAGGGCCACTTCAGAGCAGCATGGTACAGTCTTGACTTTTGTTCTCAGTCCAAGTCTACATGTGTGTCACGAAGAGAGCGTGGTTGCTGGGACGAGATCATAATGGCGCACTGGCACGGGATGGGAAGGGCGAAAGGCTTCAGGGATGGAGTGGCAAGCTGGTCTTTGATGGACAGGACCATGACATTGCATGGTCCGTGGTGTGAGGTGTCAACAGCGTGAATGCATCCACCCAGGTAAGACAGAGGCCTTCCCCTATGCCGCTTTCCCTCTGGGCAGCTTCTGGGAGGGGGCACCCGGCCACCTGTCGGGCTGTCGATACTCGGCGAGGGAGGCGACCCAGCAGCTTGCGCCAGGAGCACTCGCCTGCGACGACAGTATGCTGCTAGAGTAATTGACCCTTTAATACCAATGAGTGATATTCGATGAGATGTGTCTCGCTGGATACAAATGCCGGATGGCCGTGCCACCTGAAACGGCTTCTTTCACCTCAGAACAATGCTCGGCTCCAAAATCTATCGTCTTTGCACAGGACATGTGTGGTACATAATCACTGACAGAGGACGAGGCGAGGAAACGGGGCGGTGTGCATAGAAAGATGATTAAACAGGGACGCAGACAGCGTAGGTAGTTCCACCAGCAGAGCAAAGGATGAGGATGGGATAATCCACTTCAGTGCAACGACCATCAAGTGTATCAGAAAAGACTCCGGAACATTCACCAGGGGCCGGCTGTTCAGCTTCCACACAAACCGCGGTGTTTGTGCCGTCTCGAGTACAGATGACTGGGTTCAAGTCCCCATCACATGTATAGCCATCGTTGGTTGTGGGTGCGTCTGCTGGGCAAGTGTCAGCTGGAGGGCTGGGGCTTGGACTGGGGCTTGGAGAGGGAGAGGGAGACTCCTCGGGGCTGGGGCTGGGAGACTCCTCAGGGCTCGGGGAGGGTGACTCCTCTGGGCTGGGGCTGGGCGACTCCTCTGGGCTGGGGCTGGGAGACTCCTCAGGGCTGGGAGAGGGTGACTCCTCGGGGCTGGGGGAGGGCGACTCCTCTGGGCTGGGAGAGGGCGACTCCTCTGGGCTGGGGCTGGGTGACTCTTCAGGGCTGGGAGAGGGTGACTCCACGGGACTTGGGCTGGGAGACTCCTCGGGGCTGGGAATGGGTGAGGGTGACGCCTCGGGGCTGGGGATGGGTGAGGGTGACGCCTCAGGGCTGGGAGACTCCTCGGGGCTGGGGATGGGCGAGGGTGAGGCCTCAGGGCTGGGGATGGGTGAGGGTGACGCCTCAGGGCTGGGAGACTCCTCGGGGCTGGGAATGGGTGAGGGTGACGCCTCGGGGCTGGGGATGGGTGAGGGTGACGCCTCAGGGCTGGGAGACTCCTCGGGGCTGGGAATGGGTGAGGGTGACGCCTCGGGGCTGGGGATGGGTGAGGGTGACGCCTCAGGGCTGGGAGACTCCTCGGGGCTGGGAATGGGTGAGGGTGACGCCTCGGGGCTGGGGATGGGTGAGGGTGACGCCTCAGGGCTGGGAGACTCCTCGGGGCTGGGGATGGGCGAGGGTGAGGCCTCAGGGCTGGGGCTGGGTAACGCCTCGGGGCTGGGTGAGGGTGACGCCTCGGGGCTGGGAATGGGTGAGGGTGACACCTCGGGGCTGGGTGAGGGTGACGCCTCGGGGCTGGGAATGGGTGAGGGTGACACCTCGGGGCTGGGGATGGGTGACGCCTCGGGG